GGCTGACCGACCGACCGACCGACTGACTTGACTGATTGTTTGATTGATTTATCTCATAGTATTGTATGCATGAGAAAAAATCCGATTAAGCCAACCTACGGCTTCAGTAAGCCACTGTTTTTTACCTGACAAAAGCAATTTCTATATTTATACTGACAAAATAATTGTGATATGAATATATTGATTTATTTAAAGCATTATATGTACAAGAAAGTGCTATCGTAAGAGTTCTATGAAACCCTGTAAGCCACTGCTGTAAGCCAACGTATTTCAGCTTCTTATGAGCACCAGCAGAATGTAAAATATTCATTGAATATAATGAAGATAGTTGTTCAAATAACAATTTTGATTTATTTAGGCCGTTTATTTCATAAGCAAACCAATTTTTAACATGATCGAATAGTGTAAAAAAAAAGGGTGACTATAGTTCAATCCTACTAAGCCAACCTTCGGCTTCAGTAAGCCACCGGATTTCACCGGACCAAAAGCAGTTTTTATATTCAAATTAACAAAAATAATTTAATAATACATAATTCTATTAATCATTATTAAAATTAAATATAATTACTACAATGTTTTAAGCATATTAAATCAAGTAAATATTTCATTTAGCTTGCTCGTCAAAATCCATGCAATTTCGTAAGCCAACAATCCAAGTACGACAAATAGCCCGACCGATAGATCGAATTGATCGATTAGTCCTATTATTCTAGTTATGTGGTTTGGAGCAAGGGGAGACATTACTGAAAATAATTAAAAGTTGAAAAAATTGAGGTTCTTTGCATATCCCTGCTTCAACCCATAAGAAGGTGTTGTAATTTGGTAAATAGGCTCCCCTTGGTTTTAAAGAACAAGCTAAAAGATATTTACTTGACTGATTATGTTTAAAACAATGTAATTAAATTCAATTATGAATATTAAAATTATTTTTGTTAATTTGAATATAAAATTGCTTTTTGTCCTATAAAATACAGTGGCTTACTAATGGTATTATATGTATATGCTTAGCTTGGCTAACTAGGATTGAACTATAGTCAAACTGTTCTCGCATATTCTATCTTGTTAAGCTTTTATTGTTTTTTAATGAAAGAAATAGCATAAATAGATCAAAATTGTTATTTTAATTACTATCTTCATTATTTTCAACAAATATTTTACATTCTGGTGCTCATAGTCATAGAATGTGGATTGCAGCAATCCTACGCTGGCTCACTGCAGTGGCTTAACGGGTCTCATAGTATGATAGCGGTTGTTTGTACATATAATGCTTTAAATAATTTCACATAGTCATTTCACAACAATTTTTGTTAAACACAAAAGGAGCCGACCTTGACATTTAAAAATTTTTTAATTTTATTTCATGCATACAAACATACACACACATACATGCTAACATGCTCACATACATAAGCACATACATAATCACGTACATGATGTTTTTGATTTGACAAAAACACATCAAAGAAATCGACCTTGGTATTTAAAAAAAATTTTAAATTAAATTTCTTGCAAAATCGATGTTGATTATGATTCTACCAAAGCATCGCGTTTCTGATAATCATTATAGAAAAACACATCAAATATAGCGGATCAAACCAGCCAATCAGAAGTTGTTATTTTTTGTCGTTGGAGGAAATGACGTCATATTAACTGTAGTTATTCAGCTGTACGATGTGAGTTAGCAAGCATAATCATTATATTCGATGTCTAACAAAAAATATTTTACAAGATGTTACATGCACACAAAACTAACAAAATAAACAGATATATTTACTTACTGTATATATTTATATATATACATACATGCACACATACGTAAGTACATACATGATAATCATGAGCTTACCATGGCATATATGTATATTTAAACAACATATCGAAGGACGAAATCAACCTTGACATCTAAAAAACTTATTAATTCAATTTCATTGCGATACCGGATATGAGAATTTCAAATTAAAATTTTTTATCAGTAAAATGAAACTTATAAATCAAATCTTTGATAAAATTTTGACCAATAAGTAACTTTTTGTGTTAAATAAAATATGCCAGCTTAAATTTAACCATAAGCACGAATTCTCCTCATTAAATATCCATGCAACTGATCAAACTTCACTTCCAACCAGTTTTTCAAACGTAATTTCAATATAAAAATCTGAAGTTTTAAGATTATTTTGAAGTTTTCATTATAAAATATCAACATCAAGAAATGGCAAGATGATTTTAAAATGATTAAAACGTTGGCCAAGGAGTTTAGCAGCAGCAAGAAAGACCTGGCTTTGCCAATGAATGTTACTAAAAACTCAATGTCGTAGAGCAAGATAGGAACGAGTTTGAATGTAATGGACGACGTGTAAAAGTTACAAGTGCTTGAAATCATGATTGCAAAGTATATAAAGTTATCTTCATTCTCACTCAGATCTGATTTGTTATCAATGTGAATTTTTCTTACCAAATCGATCAGTTTGCAGTTATTTTTTGATAGCACGACCAAAGGAATGAGATAATTGAATGCAGTAAAGCTGAACACGTAAAATAGATGGATGTATATGTTGATTATTTTTTTATTATCCGATAAATCGTACAGGTCCCAATAATTTTCAAGCGGAACATCACAGATGAAGTGATTCGATATACTCTCATTAATAAACATTCGCACTGTCGGGGTGAAGAGGATTACAAATAGCGTGGCTACGAACGAAACCGTCAGCAATTTCTTCACCAAATTTGATAAATCGACGTCACATTTTGCCACTTTGCGATCCAAACTCATTTCAGATAAAGAATTTGTTAATAAAATGATAATTTGATTGAAAAACCACGGTTGAATGAGTAGAATTAGCTCCAAAAAACATGTAAAGTGCGTCATTGGTTCCATATTCCCTTCATATATCCATGACTTCCTCATAGCCACGAATGCCAAAATGAAAATTAAAAATATTTCTTCAAACAATAGATAACATCTAAAAACAAATTTACAATTTTTAGGCGTTTCTTTATCAAATCTGGCAAGAAAAATCGTTATGAGGTTGAAAATCAGCCCAATCATAGCGATCGTATTTAAAATTTTGTATTCCAAGAACTGGCTGAAGTGATCGGCGTACCTAGTTAAGTAATTTTGCACCATCTCTGTTACATTTTCAATGGCGGAGAATCCGGTTGAGACGACAGATATGAGGTCGCCCTCGGGAGGCGAAACAAACGCTGCCGTCGTCGTCGTCGTCGTTTTGCTAGTGGTCAATGATGTATCGTTCGTACTGTTGCTGCTGCTGCTGCTGTAGTACGTGAAGTTTTGAATCAGCTGCTGAAGTAGTAGGAGTTGCTGTGCGTCCGGTGAAGATGTCGTTTGCGCTGGGAATGTTGTTTCTGTGACGTCAGATGTTGCTGTTGTGACGTCACACCACGTCGTAGTTGTGGCGGCTACTGCGGTTGTTAGTCTCATCCTCGGATTCGACCAGTTCATCAGCTTCATGCAGTACTCATCCATTTTGAAACGCCGACAATAAATATTTACTTATATTCTCTTTTTAATTTCAAATAATTTGCAAAGTTTATCTATGAAAATAATAACCTTTTCTCCTTATATATACATATATTTTCACTACATATATATACACGTACTAATTCTGGCGGTTTCAATTAGGGGAAGTGTTAGAGTTGAGAATAATATTTGTTCTGTAAATACGAACGCCATTATGAAATTAGATCGGCCTTGTGACCAACAGTTTTCATTCATTTATAAATCCGTTTGTTTGGTCGTTTCTTCATTTATTCATATCTTGTTTATATCAAGTGTACAACTAATTTAGTGTAAATATTATTTATTTCCCTTCAATTTTTTAATACTAGTAGTTTCTATGCTACTACTTTCACTACTACTACTTCTACTACTACTACTACTGCCACTACTACCTTTTCTACTACTTTTACTGCTGCTACCACCACTACTGCTACTCCTAATAGCCTTTCTGGTGCACCTCGTCATCTCAGCAATCATTTTTTTAGGACATAATAACCGAAGTGTAGGAGTGCTGGCCAGCATCGAACGATAATATTTTATTATCCGATCGGGCCGTCATGAACGTGTAACTGCTGTGTCCGTAGTTGAACCCGATCCCACAGACACTCCTGGCAAACTTTATGCTAACTAGATAGTGAAGGGCCAGGTGTTCGGTGGGAAACATGGCGGTGTGTCCATCTCCGCTCCAGCCATGTAACCAGTGCAAGAGAACAAGATATTGAGATATATGAGAAATGAAAGGGGCACGAGCAACTAGACCAGCAGCAGAGTTAAAAATTATTCATTAATTCATTCATTCATTATTCGACTAAAATTTGTCCAAAAACATGAATATACACAAACAGAAATAAATTTATAAACTTAGCCCAGCACTTTTTAAAAACTAAAATTAATTTTAAAAGTAAATTCTACTGGCAAGCGAATACAATTTAAATCCTGCAAAGATGTTACCGTAAATTTGAACCCCTAATTTTAAACTAATTAATTTATTTTTTTGAAATTGTTAAATAAATAATCATAATAAAGTAAAAAATGTCAGATAAAAATAATGTCGTTCACGAATTAAAAGAGGGTTTGTCGTTTTATTATCAGTTCCTGCAAATTTTTTTCATTTTGTGACATCTTGGGGATTTTCCAGTTTGCACCAAAGCATTTTTTAATGATTGAGATTAAAAATTTAATCTTGGTTTTTCAAATTTTTATTTCAAAATTGATGTCTTTATTGTAATAAAAAATTATTTTGATTGTGATTGTCTCATCTTTAATATCCAGCATTCCATTCATTTCATTTGTTTCTACCATTCCATTCATTTCACAAAGATTATAATTTTTTAATTAATTAATTAAATTATATTTAATTTAACGAGTATTCTTCGCATAACACACACAAACACACACACACACATAAATTATATTTAATTTAACGAGTATTCGTATAACACAAACACACACAAACACACACACACACATAACAGTAAACCTAGATGGGAAAGAAAAAGTAGGTATTAAAGATTTTGAAATATTGAAAGTTCTTGGAGAAGGAAGTCAGTTAAATAAATTTAATTTGCCACTAATCACTAATCAAATTGTTGTATTATAATTAACTCCACCCAGTTATTCACTAATGTACCAGTCGATCAAAATTTAATTAATATTAATAAGTATTGATTAGTTGTTGGTCAGTTAAATTGAGATAGATTTCTCATCTATTTAAATATATTTGATTATCAAATTTATTTGTTAACCTAATCTAAATTCAAATCAAATCACATCTCCAACCTAATATTTTTTCAAACCAAAACCATCCCCACTTTACTAATCAACCCATCTCCACTAGCTAATCAGCACCATCTTCACCAACAAACCATCTAACACCTCGACATACACACAAACCAACTTTAAAAATACCAGCCTACGGCCGAGTTTTCCTAGTCCGAAAAATTACCGGCCCCGATTCTAATAAGTTCTATGCCATGAAAGTTCTAAAAAAGGCAGAGATTGTAGTAAAAGCGAAAAATGCCGAGCACATGATGACCGAACGGCAGGTCCTCGAACACATCAGACGGACTCCCTTCGTGGTCACGCTGCATTACGCTTTCCAAACTGACGAGAAACTGCATCTGATTCTAGGTCTGAGGTGGTGCTGGTGGTGATGTTGTTGTCTGTGCATCATGATGATGATGATGACGACGATGATGATGATGACGACGATGATGATGACGATGATGTCGGTTCTTATCATGAAATTACGCCGAAAATAGTTTTCATGATAACGACGACGACGACGATGAGGATAACGATCGTGGTGTTGTTGATGATGATGAATTATTTCCCGCCAAAAAGACTTTGTGAATGGAGGCGACCTATACAGTAGTCTGAACTCGAGGGGCGGTTTCAATGAGGAGCAGGTCAAAGTTTACATCGCCGAGATTGCCATTGCACTGGAATCGTTGCATAAGGTCAGATGATTGGTGGATGGATGAATAGATGGATGGATAGATGGATGAATAAAAGAATGAATGAACGAAAGAAAGAATGTATGGATGGATGGTTTACATTGTAGGGATCGCTATTGCACTAGATTCATTATATCTAGTTGGTTGCTGAATGAATAAATGGATGAATGAATGATGGATGAATGAATGATGAATGAATGAATGGATGGATAGATGGATGAACATCAGCATCGTCGGCATCACCACCACAGATAGGAGTTATTTATAGAGATTTGAAACTGGAAAACGTTCTATTGGGTGCTGATGGTCACATTGTCCTGACTGATTTCGGACTAAGCAAAGAATTCTTACCAGCTGATAAGGTGCTGATGATGATGACGTAGATGGTGCTGATGACGATGTTGTTGATAGTGATGATGATGATGATGATAGTGCTACTGATGATGATGATGATAATTATGACGAAAGAGGGATGTTGAGAATGTTGATGATGATTGCGATAATGATGATTGTCAGGAAGTTTGTGCTTTCATTAATTCCTTTCTAATCATCATTTTCATCATCATCATCATCATCGTCGTCGTCGTCATCTTCATCATCATTGTTATCATTATCAGTATCATAGAACTTATTCGTATTGCGGCACAGTTGAATATATGTCGCCAGAACTGGCTTCAAAATGCAAAGATGGACATGATTACGTTAGTGATGATAGTTATGATCATTTATTCATTTGTTCGTTTCTTCGTTCATTCATTCATTCGTTCATGCATGCATTCATTCATTCGTTCGTTCGTTCGTTCTTTCGTTTGTTCATTCATTCAATCAATCATTCATCTTTCAACGAATGACACAGACTGTTGATTGGTGGTCGTTAGGAGTTCTCTGCTTTGAGTTGATCACAGGTTCGAATCCCTTCTCCAACGGAGACCTCGGAGAAGATACCGTTGTCAGGTTTCTTGTGACGATGATGACGATGACGACGACGATGATGACGATAATTATAAATATAATAATGATGAAAATATGATGGTGACGTCTATAGCGAAGATGATTAAGATGATGATGGGGACTGAACTGAAGCAGTCATCAAACTTAACTGAAATTATGATAATGATAATAATAATAATAATAATAATAATAATAATAATAATAATAATAATAATAATATTAATAATTATAATAATGATAAACAGAATAATAATGGTTATAATTGTTATAATTAGATAGAGATTTCCTAGTAGAGTAATGGCAGTTGATTGCCACAATGCAATTATAGCTATTGATACGGTATCAATGTACTTTTATATTTTTTGTGATGCTACTACTACTACTACTACTAAAACTGCTGCTATCACTACTACTACAACTGCTGCTACCACTACTACTACTGCTGCTGCTACTACTGCTACTACAACTGCTGCTACCACTACTACTACTGCTGCTGCTACTACTGCTGCTACTGCTGCTACCACTACTACTTCTGCTGCTGCTACTGCTGCTGCTACTGCTGCTGCTACTACTGCTGCTACTTTTCCAACTGCTACTGCAAGCATTACTACCTCCCTTGTTGTTAGCGTTAACATAACAACATCCGTTAAACACTGACGAACGTTGAGAACAGGTTAATAACTTCTGTGGAGCCTTCGGTTCCCGCGTTTCTTTCACGCCACCTAGCCAGCCTGATCAGATCCTTGCTCCAGAAGAATCCGAAATTTAGATTAGGCAGGAATGGGATCGATGATTTGAAGGCACATCCCTTCTTCAACGTAGTACTGCTTTTATGGTTTTTGGTTGTTGCTATTTCAGAATATTTGTTATTATTATTATCCTTATTGTTGATGTTTGCTATTATTAACATTGTTGTAGTAGTTTTTGTTGTTGTTGTTATTATTCTCACTCATTTATGATTGTTGTATTGATTACCATGGCGACCAACCGTTGAAGAATTTAGATTGGGACAAACTGCAGAGGAAAGGACTTCCGCCCCCGTTCAAACCAAAGATCATAAATGATTACGACGTCAGCAATTTTGACGACAGCTTCACTAACAAGCCACTAGTTTCTCCGCCTGTTCATAAAAAAGCGTGCTGCCTGAGAAACCCCGCCGATGGCCTTAAGAATTCAAGCCAAGTTAATTGCAATCATTTTATTGAGTATGAAGAAAAGTTCAAGGTGAATTATGTTGTGTGTGGTGTGTGTGTGTGTGTGGTGTGTGTGTGTGTGTGTGCGTATGACGAGTTGATTAATGGTGACTGATTCGTTGAAATAGGATGGTTCGTTTTGTAAAATATTTTAACGTAACTGTAATATCTTCGTAATACTGATTGTTATATGATATTGGTCTATAATTGGATCTATTGAGCAAATGATGAGGATGATGACTCTCTCTCTCTCTCTTTCTCTCTCTCTCTCTCTCTCTCTCTCTCTCTTTCTCTCAAACATACACACACGCACACACCCAGACACACACACAAACAGACAGACACACACACAAACAGACAGACACACACACAAACAGACAGACACACACTCACACATACATCGATAAACTCATACACAGGGTTACTCATACGTCGCTCCGTCGGTTTTGTTCACAAAAAATTCTCTATCTGGTTCCTTCCTATCTCTGAGTGATGATGACGACGACGACGATGATGATGATGGTCCTGGTGATGGTAAGGATCCTGATAATGGTGGTAACGATGATGGCGGTAATTTCAAAAGGCGGATGAGGAAGAAGATGAGAAAAAAGAAACTAAATAATGAAGATCTTAATATCGCCCTAGCCATGACTTTCAAGGTTTTTCCTTTCTAAATTTTTTTATTTCTTATTATCATCATCATCGTCGTCGTCATTATTAATATTATTATATTATTTGTATTATTATTACTTCTATTTATAGGACAGTGGGTTTTTCCAGAAATATTCAATGGACCTTGACGGCGGAGAGCTGGGCAAGGGATCGTTTTCTATTTGCAAGTTCGGGAATTCCTCGAGATCTATACATAAATAATTTATGATAATTTAAATACAATAATTCACAATAAAAAATAAATAAATTCATAATAATGGAATGAAAAATTACAATAAAAATTACAATAAATTATGAATTATCAATTACAATAAATTATGGATCATCATCATTATCATCGTCGTCATCATCATGCTCACTTATTAGGAAATGCATAGACAAGAAAACAAAGACGGAATACGCTGTAAAAATCGTGAGTAGGCGTGTGGATACGAGAAATGAAACGGCGATAATGAGGGAGCTACAAAGCTGCCCATTTATCGTCCAACTGATTGACGTTTTTCAGGACAAGGTTAGGCAAGTTAGGGATAGACAAATTAGGGATAGACAAATTAGAAATGCATTAAATAGAAGCGAGTTTATATATAGGGATGGATAAAATAGTGATGTGCGATCGTTGAATTTCAATAATTCAGAATTTAGAAAGAGTGCAGTTGAATTGTTAGACCCAATTTAGGCGCAAATTGATTGGCTGGCTGATGAAATAAATGCTAAAAGTTAATAACCAATTGGGTGGTAATTTTCAACTGAACCAGCTGCACACGTACATCGTAATGGAGCTGGTGAGTGGGGGCGAGTTATTGAGTAAAATTTTCCACCAAAATTATTTCGGAGAGGCCGAAGCGAAGCACGTATTTCGGCAGTTGCTGAGCGCCGTTCAGTACATGCACCATAACAACTCCATCGTTCACAGGGACCTTAAACCAGAGGTTTATTTATTTACAGAGTATTTGTCGTTGTTTTTGGAACATTATGTTGGGTAGTTGTTGTATGCGCAACTTATTTAAATGCTGTTGTTGTTGTTGCAGTTGTTGCGGTTGCTGTTGCAGTTATTGTTGTTGTTGTGGTTGTTGATGTTGTTGTGGTTGTTGATGTTGTTGTGGTTGTTGTGGTTGTTGATGTTGTTGTGGTTGTTGATGTTGTTGTGGTTGTTGATGTTGTTGTGGTTGTTGATGTTGTTGTGGTTGTTGATGTTGTTGTGGTTGTTGATGTTGTTGTGGTTGTTGTGGTTGTTGATGTTGTTGTGGTTGTTGATGTTGTTTGTATTGAGGTGTCGATGTTGTGTTATTGTTTTTTATGACGCAGCGATTGAAAAAAATGATTTCATTGCTTGTATCACAGAATATCCTGATAAATTACCATGACGTCACAAACGACAACAACAACAACAACAAAAATAATAATAATATTAACGAGGGTATTAAAGACAATAGTAGCAATGACACTAAAATACATCAAAACGAATTAGCTAGTGGTAAAAATATTTTTGAAAACTTTCTTCCTACTACTACTACTACTACTACTACTACTGCGGCTACTACTCTTACTGCTAGTAGTGGTGATCATCATGATAATAATATTGGTAATAGTACTAATCATAGTAAAACTCCTAATCTAAACTATACCATAAAATTGATTGATTTTGGATTTGCGAAAAAAATGAAAAGAAAAACACCAAAGAACAATAATGACGACATCAACAACATCAACAACAACAACCACATCAACAACAACAACGTCACCACCAACAACAACAACATTAATAATACTGCATCAAGTACTGAATCAAGTAGTAAACATGTTAACTTCACTAACGACAACATCAGCAACGACAGCAGCAGCAGCAGCAACCACAACAACTACAACAACAACACTCCCAACAGTACCAGCACGAACAACAGCAAAACTTCCAACGCGAGCAATGGATTGAAGACCCCGTGCTTTACATTATATTACGCTGCTCCCGAAGTCCTGAGCAAGTTGCCCATGTCGTTATTCTGTAATGATGATGATTTTGTTGGTGATGGTAGTGATGCCGTTGATGGGGCTGATCAAGATGGCCGCAGGGGGAGGAGCTATGACGAGTCATGTGACCTGTGGAGTTTAGGAGTTATATTGGTTAGTTGTTGTTGTTGTTGTTTTCGTTGTTGTTGTTGTTTTCGTTGTTGTTGTTGTTTTCGTTGTTGTTGTCATAGCTGTTAAAACATGTGAATTTGAAGGAGAGATTGAATGTTACATCGGTACCGAACTGTCGGTTGGATAGCCAAGCCATGGATCAACAATAATTTTCATCAGTGGCTTGTTTTTCATTCTAAAAAAATTTACATTTTTGAAAAATTTGAGGTTTTTCGGTACTAATAATAATAATAATTTATTATTTGGTGCATTCCTAATAATAATAATAATAACTCACTTGGCAGTATACCATGCTCATGGGCCGACCACCATTCCATCATCATCATCATCAACAACAACCACAACTCCATCATCATCATCATTTTCTTCATCGTCATCATCCTAATTATATTCAAACACATCAACAACAACAACTTCAACTTCAACAACAAGTTCAACAACAACAACTTCAACAACAACAACTTCAACAACAACAACATCAACAACATCGAATTGAAAATTTTTTAACTAGCAATACTACTACTGCTCCTACTACTACTACTGCTGCTGCTGCTACTACTACTTTTACTACTACTACTACTACTACTACCAATAATAATAATAATAATAATAATAATAGCAATGATGAAGACGACAACGACGATGATGATGCGGCTTTATTTAACATAATGAGGAGGATAAAAGCTGGAGATTACAACATGAAAGGCGAGAGGTGGGATGGAATTTCCCAAGATGCTAAAAATATCATTCAAGGTTATTTATAGCTCTTATAATCGTCATCATCATCATCTTCTTCATCATCATCATCATCGTCAGTGTTAATAGTGTTTATATTAGTATTATAATTATTTATTGTTCTCAGTGTGTTATCAACATTAAGCTTCACCATCACAAAAAATTTAACTTGAATTGACCAATCACAAATCATTTTCAATTTTGAATCATCCAATCGCACAAAAATTTCCAAATTGACTTGACTCATTAATCAAGAATACGAATTAAAATTTGTCGACCAATCACAACAGGCCTGCTAACTGTCGACCCGACAAAGCGCCTAACAATCAAACAATTGCTCGATCATGATTGGCTGTTTCCTTACAGCGACCCCTGGCAAGTCACGACGTCATCAACAGCCTCACCGAAGATCGCAAATAAGAGGGAGGGTTTTAAACTGTTGGCCGTTGATGGTGCGCCACTGGCTAAAAAACGAAAGCGAAAGAATAAAACCGAAACTGAACTTTACTTGAAATCCGATGGTGGTATTAATAGCGAGTCAAAGAGTAATAGCAACAGTGACAGCATTCGCAGTAGCAGTAGCAGTTGTAATGTTGGCACTGATGAAATTATTTGTGGCAGAAGTAGTTGTAGTAGTGGCAGTAGTCGAAATACTAGTAGCACTATATCCGCCCCATCTTCGCCATGAAAGAAATTTTCCGAGGTGATGATGATAATGATGACGAGAAGAAGGGTTGTGAAGATGATGATGATGATGATGATGATGACGAAGAGGAAGAAGATGATGTAGATGGCGATGAATAAATAAAATGGCGATGATGACCGTAAAGTTTGTAATCTAACATTTCCGAGCAACACACACATACACACACACACACATAAACATATATACAAAAATTCATACATACAAACATTCATACATACATACATACATACATACAAAGTCACAAATATACAAACACACATGGGTACAAACGCGTTCTATTTTGTACTTTCCAGCTAACAATACAAAGCTTCTCGTTAAAATTTTAATGTTTGAGCATTATTCCACTTTAAAAAGACAATTCTGTTATTTATTATTATTAATATTATTATTATTTTGTTTCTTATTCGTCTATTTATTTATAACGTGTTTTCCGAAATCTTGCCGGGAATGAAATATGTTTGGCCAATTCAATTTCAATGACATTACTACTATATATATATATATGTATGTATATATATATATATATATATATATATATATATATATATATATATATATATATATACACACAGTTACACACACAAACACACACACATATATATATCTTTCTATATTACAATTAGTAATGTTACTCTTACTATTGCAATCGTTACCGGTGCTAACAGAAATGACAGTAAAAATTCTGAAATTTCTACGCTTACTACTACTTGCCGCTACTACAGCTGTTTTTGTTGCTACTACCACGGCTTCTATTTCTTCATTACTACCACTACTACTACTTCTACGTTTTGTTATCGTTGTAATTACTAGTTTGTTATGATTCTTTGTTGAGATGCTGTTATGACCACTTCCTTTTCATTCTGTGATGACTTTTCTTATCATGGTGGAAATTATTCTTCTGCAATTATCGTTCATGACTCGTTGTGTTGGTATTTCTACTCAAGACTTGCATTGTTTTTGAATTTATTAAAAAGTGAATTGAATGATGTGAAATAAATTCTGAGCATACTCGTTTGTTGGTTATGGCTGACATCAAAATTAATGGCAAAGAGACATATCAATTAATTCTGTGTGAAAGAAACAAAACAAGTAAAAACACACACACGCACACACACACGCACGCACACACACACCTATATATATATATATATATATATATATATATGTAAATATTTCAAAATATGCGTGCAATACAATCGAGTATATAGAGACGTTGTTGGTTCATCCTACTAATGCATTCCAGTGAGGAATTATCTTTTATAAATTAAAGTTCGCCTGTTGTGTTTTTGGTCGATTTTTTGTTACTTGGATTTATGCTGTATAATAACCGGTTAGTTAATGAATGATGATGACGATGATGAAGATGATGACGATGATGATGATGATGAAGATGATGATGATTATAATTATTATCATAAATAGGAGCAAACGATTATAGTTATGATAATGATAGGTCAATTTTGAAATACAAGATGTGCCTTTCATTAATGTTTACTTAATGTAGAGAGAGAAGAGAGAGAGAAGAAAGAGAGAAAGAGAAGAAAGAAAGAGAGAGAGAAGAAAGAGAGAAAGAGAAGAAAAAGAGAGAGAGATGGAATGGGAAGAACAACGAGAGTAAAATGCAAAAGAAAAAGATAGTCAGACCGACAGAGAGATATATACACATTTAAAATATTCATCGATGCTTGTATAACACAGTTGTAAAAACATGTTCCTTTTAAAAATGGCGTCAAGTAACATATTTTTATATATGGTCGAAGGAAATTGGACTCATTTGTTATTTATTTTTCTATGTAAATAAAGAACGATAATTAATCATGTTGCCGGAAAAGAGTGTTAACTTTCTATGCAAATGAAGCGATTATTTATCTATGGGAAGAGAGCAGTTATTTATCTATGTGTCTACAATTAGCTGTCTTTGTTGTTGCCAACGAGATATTTATATCTATGGACATAAATTTAATTATATCTATGTATAAGCAAATGCATCTTTGTCTTTCCGTTAAAAAATATTTTACAAGAATTCATTCACCAAGTAAACTTCATCACCAAAGATGGCACAAAAAATATCGTCACCACCACCATCATCATCATTATCACCACCACCATCATCATCATCAACAACAACACCATCATCATTAACTAAAAATTTCCACAAAATATTTTATGTTCCATCTTGTTTGCATGTTAATTATTTATCGAAAAACCCCCTCTCCAGACTATGGATGTCGCTTTTTGGTGTTTTTTTGTCATTTTTTTCTGTCTTTCGTTCATTCTGTTTTTATACTTGCACACACTCTCTCTCTCTCTTTTTCTCTTTCTTTCATTTTTTCTCTTTTATTTTTCTTTCATTTGTATCTTTTCAGTTGAAAAATATTAAATTTTGTTTCAATTCTTTTTATCGTATTTACTCACTCTCTGCACTCCTCTCTCTGCACTTCTCCCTCTGCACTCCTCTCTTTCTTTCTCTTTTTCCATATCTCTCCTCCACTCCTTGTTCTGTACATCTTCATCTTTCTTTCTATCTAGAAAACTATTTATATAAGATTCTAGTCTCCAGGAGTTTCTTTTTTGACTGCCTTTTCTTTCTAATTTATTTTTTATATCGCTTCTTATATAACTTATCTCTTCCTCTCTCCCTCTCTCTTTCTCACTCTCTATCTCTTTTTTGTTTATTTCTATCTCTTCCCATAACTTTTTAATGGTATCATCTTAAAATACTTAAAGATAGATGGCTTAACTACATATAATTTGTTTTTAAAATTCAATTTAGCAGCAGTTTTGAATTTTTCCAGAAGGTAACTTACAACATTTCTCACTATTTTTATTATAATTATTCCTCTTTTTCTATATTTTTCTCTTTTTTTCCCTTTCCTTCTCTCTCTTCCTCTCTCTCTCTTCCCCT